AGATGAGAGACCAGAGACAGTGACCAGAATATGGCCCCAGGTTTAACTGCTTTCCCTATGACTTTTTCTCAAGAAAAAACTTTTCTAAATCATTTATTTTATCCTTAGGTATAATCATAATAATAGACAGATGTCATCGTTTCTCGAAATACAATATTTTTTTTATTTCGTTGTCGATAGCCCGACACGTGTTCCGCAGCCATCTTGTATTTTCTCGCGCGCGTGGGATCTCTCGTATGACTGGACCTAGTTTCAAGAACTCTCTTGAGTCGATCGCGACTAAACCTGGTTTCAGTCGAGATTGAAACGGTCGATGGAGGTTGCACCAAGGCGAACGGGGTATAAGGCTCTAGTTTAGTAGTGTTACAGAGTATAATACGTATATTTTAATATACTTTTTAAAAGAAACGAAACCATTGAGAAATGTTACGTGTGTTTAACAACGGGTTCGGAAAACTTTGAAAATGTTAACAACGGGTTCAGCCGAACCTGTGCGAACCTGTGCGAACCTGCTGAATATCACCACTGGGTGCATGCATGGATGTAGTCCCATGTTAGTAATGTTACAGTGGATGAGGATCATTATTTAACCACTTATACAGCGGATCCATACATTGGGCAGGTCGAGAGTGGGAATGTTACATGCATCTGACGTTGCCATGAGAAGGGACTCCCATATAAAGACGAGTTTTCGATTTTTGCAGCACTTGAGCATTGTTGCTTGGGTCCATAGCAGGTTGTAACCCTGCTCAAGCACCTTTTTTGTAAGTTCTGTGGTGTGCCTTCACTTCACTACTTGGTGTTCTGCTAGGCAGCTAGCAAGCATTCTTGTTGTGGCCTCAAATGTATTTTGTATTTATTCTTGTTGCAAGATTCTCCAGTGGTACAGCATAGACCCCCAATTTCTCTAAAGTGGAGAATTTATCCCGATCATTGCAGATGAGCCTGCATAGACTTGGTAGTGGGGATAGGTGCAGAAGGTTATGCTGCTTAAAAATATGGAAAACACATATGGAAAAGGGTCCAAGGTATGGCAACGATGGTTGGACTACAGAAATTCCCTCTTATTACATAGCATGATACTTGAAAATAGGGATTTTCTTACCGTGTTGAGCACATGTGTGAATTTAGCATGCGAGAAACCAGCAGTATGTACCGCCAAACTAATGGTGTTTAATTCAATATTTACCAGCGCTTGCATTGATGGTAGTAAGTGGGCTCTTCTAATGAGAGCAGCAATGGCAGTGTTAACATATTGCAAAGGCTGGAAAGCATCTGCTGAGATAATATGTGGTGCCGTATTAGACTTATGGTGAACTGAGAACTTTGCCCTTCAGGAGATTACGTATGCACAAATCTAAGAACATTATTGCTGCATCATTCTCTTTCTCCCAAGTGAAGTTAATGGAAGGATATATACTTGAAAATTGCTGCAAGAAGGTAAAAATTGTCTCGTCTGTATCTTCCCACATTATGAGGTTATCATAACACAAGTACAGCAGTGGGTAGTGGATGGCAAGTGGGAAATTGATTGTTCTGTGCTTGATTTCTCTCATAATGAGCTCTGCTAGAATAGGGGAACCCATGGGAACTCCCTGCTTCTGTAAATAAATTTTCCAATTGAAACAGAAATAATTATGCTCAGTGATAAAGGTCAGCACATCACATAAATCAAGTACCTGTTGGATATTAAAGCCCTTTTTGAGGAGCAGAGAGGTATCAATCTATAGTATATTATTGTAAAATTCTCATACATTAAAATATAAATGATTTATGAATAAAAGTAAACAATAGCATTTTAAAACAAAAAATTGTTTGTTTAAATGCTAAAAAAAAGTCCATATTAAATATGAAAATACAATTATTGCAACTTTGTAAATTGATGATAAAGAAAAACATTTCATCTTCCAAAGAGAAATGGAAAATTAGGAGATAAAGCAGTAAGGAAAATAAATAAATAATGATTACAAATTAAAATATATTAATATGGAAAAAGTAAGTGAAAAAATTATATCAATATGACTTGGAATTTAATATCTGAATCTTTCAAATTTTGGTCTCAAGTTAGTCTCCTTTTGATCAGTTTTTGTGTGAAAATTGGTGGTTTTCAAAAAATTTTGAAATTTTGATACTTTGTAGTCATTTTCAAGATGATTTTCAATATTTTGATATCAAAATTGAATTTTTTAATGAAAATTTGGTCTCAATTGTTATTCAAAATTATTAGTTATTCATAGTGAAACAACTATGATTTTGAAAAAAGTGGTGTTTTATAGTAGTACCCTTATTCTATTATATATCTTGTCTATTATATCATTACAGTTGTTATATTAATTTATAGGTACTTGTGATGATATTTCTCCCTATGCCACATTCCATACACCATTATCAGATAGAAGATTATGGCAGGATAGGAATGGAATAATTTCTGGATGTGACAGAAGAGAAGTTAAAGTTAGTAGTAAATATTTTTATATTCATTTACGCACTAAATTTAAATATTGTAAAGTAATTTGAATATTATATTTTATTTAAACAAAGGTAATGCAAGTAGTTTCTGTTTTATGAATTTACAAGTTTTTGGGTTGCAATTTGAAAAAATTGTAGACCTATAAATTCCCACTGTCATATATCTGTCTGTCATTCCTTAATCTTGAGGATGGAGTCAGATAGATGAAAACCAGATATGAAAACCTTAGGGACTGGAGGCACCAAATAACTATATATGAACATCCAATGCAAATTGAAAGTCTTGTTATTTCAATTCAAAGCTTCCCCTGAAAGCAGTTAATAGATGACCAGCACGACTTCATTGGTAAAGGAAAAGTATGATGTAAAGGGGCAAGACACTATTAATAATTTAAAATAATTTTAGATTTCATTTTTATTGATATAAACACAAAACAAGAAATGAATTAGAAATTGTCACTTATAATATATATGTCAATGCATATATTTCCTTCTATAGAACAAACCTTTTGAATACAAGTTTCTGATTGACTATGTACGATTTAAATCATACATGAAAAATTACTAAGAAATCAATGAAAAATTTATTTAGGTTGATTGATTGTGATTGATTCCCAGTGTTAGAAATAATTTTTTGAAATTTTATTTGCAAACTTTTGAAACAGAAATTGAATTGAACATGACTAATTTTTATAATCAATAATAGATAAAAAGTAATAAAAATGTCTCTCATTCTTATAAAAGTTTGAATAACAGTAGAATTATGAAAGATTGTTGGTAAAGTTACACTTATAAAGGGCTTTAAAAAATATTATGTTACCAACAACTTGAACAGAACATAGGATGATATGTACTTTTCAAAGAGGCTGAAGACCATGATGGCAATGAAATAGTAAACAGGAATTATGACAATGAAAGTTCTGATGAAGATGAAAATGAAGAAGTGTTGTTGCAATGACTGTCTAAAGTTTTTAATGCAAATTTTTAATTTTTTGTATGCAAATAAAATTAATAAAAGGTCAACATATATTCAGGTTTTAATTTTTTTTAATCTAAAGATTTCAAAATTGGGAGTTGGGATTTATATTTAGGTCAATACAGTAAAATTCATAGATGATTTAACAATCAAAACTTTACAATAATTACTGAAACTGGTTGCAATGTTCAAAAATAACAAATAAAATTTGTCATTGATAATAGCAGTGAATAGTATGAAATATTTATAATGTGAATAGAATATTCTAGTTAAAATGATTTTTGTCAACTAATTTATTGCACTTCTAGCTTATAAATTTATAGTATCATATATCTATTTTTTTATGTATCTGTAAGTTTATTTTATTGTCTTATTCACATGAATTTTATTTAATAGTAATTGAAAATAATGAAGAATTAAAAAACTAATTTACTTGTTTATGAAATCTAGCAATTAAATTCACATATTCAAATTTCTAGCATAGCTTTATTAGTGATCAGTAGATTGGTCCCTTTCAAACAGTTTTCTTGTGATGCAATGTATGAATGCCAGTATTTCTGTCATTCTTGGAAACATTTTTCAAAATATTCTTGTGGAATTGCTTTTGAAGTTGCTGTTATGTTTTCTGAATATCATCAACTGCTTGAAAATATGTTTGCTTGAATTTTTTATCAAAGAAATTAGGAAAAATTCATATAAAGCTCAGGTGAATGTAAAGAATGATTAAATATAATTTGTATTTTTGCCAAAATCTCTTTTATAATCAAAGTAGGAAGTATTTGCACAATGCAAGATTCAGTTGTATTAAAGCTTACATTTTATTGGTTTTATTGTTAAATAAACATTTAAAAATCCTAAAATCTAGCAGGAGATTATTTATTTAACTAGTGGTTAAAATTTAATAAACACCTTTTGCAACAAATTTAGCAAAATTATTTCTCTTAACACAACCAAAATACTCCTATATTCACCTATTCAAAGAAATGGTTTCTTCAGGGTTATATAACACACTTTCCATTGTCTTATATTATCAGGTTATAATTTGGTAATAATAATTATAAATTACTAAAGAATTTGACCCTAGGGGATGCATTATGTACCATCTTTTATTAAATTTAGTAATTATAATTTAATTAAATAATTTTAGATTAAACTGGAAGAAAAGAATTTGCCCGGAGCTGTCACTTACCATGCAAATGCATTGCCAGTTACACTACCCAGATCTTCAGTCTAATCTCCTCTTCCAGTATATTTAGCATTCCTTAACATAACATTTAACATAAGATATAACAATCATCAGTTTAGTAATTTATAATTATTATTATCAAATTATATCCTGATGATATATGGCAATGGAAGATGTGTTATTGTAATATATCAGGTGTAGTTAAGATGTTTATATTCAGTATTGAGGTATTTAAGTATTGAGATATTTAATTTATATATTCATTATAATAATAATGAATATATAAATTCTGAAAAACAGTTCATGAATAATTTATTTCTTTTGTCAAACACAGTATCAAGTTTCATAAAATTTTTCTGATATTTAACTAATGGTTTTAATAACTATGTTTATTCATGGAAAAAACTAAAGTAATTTGTGTTTGTCTAAACATAAGAAGTTTATTTAAAAACTTATGTTTAGACAAACACAGATTTTAATAAAAAAAACAAAGTAAATATAAAATAATACTTTATTAGATAAAAATTGTACAAAAACTCCAAATACTTTTATTATTAATATTCCTTAAATATTACAATGTGGTGTTAATAAGACAATGGAAGTCATTTCCTTTAAAAATTAGACAAACTTTCGCATCTATAGACTCATCTTCAGAAGACAAATTCTAAAAATTTTAAAATTATGTATATTCTGAAAATTTCAGATTTGGTTTTAACTAATTTCATAAAAATTTAATTTGTTCTAAATCAGCGCTGTCCAACTGGCGGCCCGCTGGCCATATATGGTCCGCCAAATAATTTTTACGGCCCGCGAGTAAAAAATTAAAATTATTTTACTACCGTGTTTACCCGAAAATAAGACAGTGTCTTATATTAATTTTTGCTCTGAAAATTGCCCTAGGTCTTATTTTTTCCAGGAAGAAGAATTCACATTTATTATTGAACAAAAAAATTCCCAAGTCGAACTTAGATGAGAGTGACGTATATTCGGTGTGTCGAACTGTCGCCTTTTTATAGCGTCAACATCGGACTCGCTGACCAATTAGTGCTTACTGAACCGTAGCACTATGCAAATGTCATGTGGCGTGATTCCCGGCCGACCAATTAGCCATCACCAACCTTCTTGGTCCCCAAAATGTTTGGTGAAGAAAATATGACCCGCGGGCTATGATAAGTTGGACAGCGCTGTTCTAAATCAATATGAGTCAAAAGTAAAAGAAACTCAACTGCAGTAGCCATCATTATGCATAATTATTTCCTTTGATTTTAATGCCACAACTGATATTGAAAGCAGAAAGTTGTAGGTTGTGCATATCCCATTTATTTTTGTTACTATGATGCTACTTATTGAATTATGTCACAAGACACAATCTGAATCATTAGATTTCATAAATAATTATACATACAATAAATATATTTACTATTTATATTTTATCTTGTTCAGCATAAAAAATTAGAATTCTTTTTTGTAGGAAACTGAATTATTTTCTATCACTGCTCAGAAACAAAACTGTGATGCAAGAAGAGAAGAAAATCAAGGAATTGGTAATTTTTAGAATATTTTTGATTTATATTAAAATAAATTGCATAGTACAAGGATGATTAAAAAAATAAGTTAACAAGAGCTCTCACAGGTGTCATATTCCTCCTCCTGTCGAATTTCCCATTAAGGCAGTAGCAGAACACCACAGCTTTATTGCATAGGCAAATGTTGCGTCAGACTCTTGCAATATCGTTTTGAAAATGGCTGCACTCATGGAAACATGGTCAAACATGGAAGTGCATAATATGATTTCATCTGAAGGGCAACTCACCAGTAGAAATTCATCGTCAACTTGTTGAGATGTATGGTGGTAATGTCATGTCACAAAAACAGGTGTGGGTTTGGTGTATTGAGTTCGATAAAGGCAGGACAGATGTGCAAACTGAGCAAACTGAATTGTTATGGTGCTTCAAGTGGGAGGTACTGGAACATCCTCCCTATAGCCCCAACCTGGCATCCTGTGATTTCCATTTCTTTGGGCCTTCATCAGGCTGATGTTCCAAAATTGAATGTTTACAAATATTAACAGAAATAGAACAGAAATATGTGAATGCCAAAACATGTTTAAATATAAAATTAAAAAATATTCTACAATCTGATACATTGCTGCAACATGCACAGAAAAACTAAAAGACAAAAATATATTAAAAAGTAGTAAGAAAATCATGTTATGTTGTGTAGACTTCACACCAGGATTTCTAAGCAATCAATATTGTGTTTTGATCCTTGTAGTTGACAGAGTTCCTTTTACATGTTGGTTTATAGATTTTGAGGGCTTCATTTGTTTAGTAAGATGGTGCTTATTTTTTATATACTTGGTCCATCTTTGTACATAAATAACAAAACATAGATAGTAAGATTTAAGGAATCAAGCACTTACTGGTATTAAGTGTTTTCAAGTTGATTTATATCTCACTGTCAGGTCAAATCTTCAATAATAATATAATTCTTCTGTATTAATAATAATAATAAGAGTTTGATCTGATGATGATCCCTAAATTCTTTCAAAAAATGTTTAATCCCTAATAAATCATTGGGTCCTTGAATCTTTAGAATTTATTAAATTATTAAAGAAAACTGATAAGTAGGTGACCTACAAAAAGTTTGTACATCTAATAAAGGTTTTTGGAATTAATTAATCATAACTGTATATTGCACTCATTCTTGATCCTTCAACAGATGTTATTGATTCAAACATTTTTATATCATATTGAACATTTTCAAAAACTTTACTATAAATGTTAGCATACTTTATTATGTAAAAATCAGTTTTTAATAACAATAAACAAAAGATTTGGTAATTCAGTAAATGAAAATATCTGTATTATTATTATTTTTCTCATTTGTAAAAGAAGATATTAACATTTAAATTATTTTATAGCTATATTAGAAATGGAAGTACCACCAATTAATAGAGGTCTTCAAATATCAAAAAAATCTAGAGGACATCTTATTAGTAAGCGCCCATTAAAGTCATGTAAAAATAAAGAAGTGGGGTAAGAATATTTAAAATATTTTATGAACAGAATTATTTTAAATGTCATTATTCAATATTTATATATATATATATATATGTGTGTGTGTGTGTGTATATGTAGATATATATACTATAAGTTTAAATATGCTATATCGTAGAGAAGGTGGAGAAGAAAGAACATATGCCTTTAATAGCAGTCCATCAACTGGCATATCCCATTATGAGCAAACTATTGGTATGAATAATTATTGTAATAACTCTAAGTCAGTATATGGGATGTTTTACAATACATGCTATAAGCTAAAAGATGATGATTCTCTAAGAGAAATTAAACAAAATTCTGAATGTTTTTCAGAATTTTGCTTTGATTAACATTTAGTTTTTCAATATCATTTTCAAAAAGAAAAAGTAACAGAAAATAGTTTTTGTGACACAGTTATAAATATTATTTTTGAATAATGTCAAAATAAATGTTTCAATACATTTGATATGGTGAAAACCACAAGATTTCTTAATGTTATTGAACATGTAGATCAGAAGAATTTCACATATGCATAATAATTGGATGGACACATGATGTTAGCATAAAGTTTCAGATCATTTACAAAAATAAATAAATAAATGCATAGCTATCATTAGCCTATTATGATGACCAATATTAAAAAATTACATGTTTTCAGATATAATGTTAATTTCAGTGTTATTTACATTGAAAAAATATCCCAATTGATGAATGTTAAAATTCAAAAAAGCTGCACGTATTCAACAGATGTGTAAAACAGGAAGAATTCATATCCTTTTCCAGAATACCATTTCACATTTTTTCTAAAATTTTATTCTTTAAATAATAACAAAAGATGCATTATTGCAGTTCAATTAAACTTATGCTAACAGAGATCTTAAAATGACTTTATTCTTTATATTTTATAGAATGATAGATTTACACATACTTATGCTGGCACAAAACATATACAATCCAATTCTGTTTTTAAACTGTAGATATGCTCCCCAAAAAATTCATGTTTAACATGGATTTTTTAGGAACTGTAATCATGTTAAAAAGAAAAAAATATTCTGCATATGGAAAAATGGAAGATTGGTTCCAGAGATTTTTTACTGACTGTTAAACCAGTAAAACTATGTAAACCAATTAATGTAATAGAATGTGTTTAAACAAACTATTTCAGTTATAGTTAATAAATCAGAGTAGAGGCAACTGTAACTTAGTTTTCTGAAGAATTTAATAAATTTATATTATTCACACAAATTTTTTTTATTTGACTTTTTCAATTAAATACGAAAGGCATACAAAAACTATTCCAAATTGAAAGAAATTAAAAGAAACACAGTTATACAAACAAATTGTCAAAATTTAAATTAAATATTTTCTGTTTGTTTCAATTGTGGGATAAAGTTAGATTGAAAGAACTTTTATTGTTAGAACATTCAAATAAATCATAAAAAACAGTCAAGTCTTAAAATTTACTTGAGTATGTATAGAAACTTAAAATGCAAATTCTATGAAATTTTAAAAGAGCAATTTTATAGAAGAGGAAGAATGAATAGTTTTTCTTAGAATTAAAATTAAATGGAGAATTTTAAAAAGGCAAATTTATTGAAAAATGTAGATCAAAACAAATCATGGAAAAAGAGAACTGAATTTTTTCCAAACCGTATTAAATGAAAATTATTTTTAAAAAAAAGAATTGGTTGCATATAGATTTATAACAACTCAGTTGCAGATCCAGAACCACCCAAAGGCAGGTTAACTCAAAAATTAAAAGTATTTGAATAATTAAACACCTTTTATTGAAATGTGCACAATGAATATATTACAGATGATCAGATAAACCATATTTGTCATCATAAATATTTTTTAAAAAAACAATGTTTTGAAGTTTGGATAAATAAAGTTTTTGTGTGTCAGTGGAAAGGACTTAAAACCCTATAGTCCTCCCCTTAGATTTGTCATTTTAACAACTTTCAAGTTTTAATATCACTCATTTTGAATACAAGTGGTGTCCAAATCTCCTTCTTATTAAAGATATTTTTAAAATATTTTTATTAAGATGAAATTAAGATAAGAATTCTCTGTCAATAATATTTTTGTCTTAATTAAGTCTTCTGAAAATGACATTGAGAAATTTTACACACATTTATTTAGAAATAGTAGCAAAAATCTAAATAATATTAACCTAGAATTTAGATTTTACATTGAATCATATCTTGTTGGGAACCTGGATCCCCTTACTGTAAATAAATATATGAAGAAAAAGCAATTAAGTACAAGAAGAAAATTTGAATGTGATATATGCACTTACACACGTATCTAAGAAATATTTACTTTTCTAGTGGCTACATCTACAATAAGGCAGAAGTGGTTGTAGGTTTGCATGTTCAAATTTGGGCCCACCCTAATATTGATTCTAATTATGCTACTGCTTGTATCATGTGTTGCAAGACACTCTGTGTATTAACTATCTCATCTTTATTTAATTATAATTAAATATATAGTATTGTATTGTCAAAAACTTCATCATTATCTATAAAAATTTCATTTAAGAAGTTTGTTGTTATAATTATATTATTATATAATCAATTTTTCCAAATATAAATTCCAATAATATATGAGGGCAGTTTTTTCAACCTCTGATGGTCCTTAAAACAAAGACAAATGTAAATAACAAAATGAATTTAGTACCAAAAGTTAGGTACAAACATGGTTACTTTTCAACATAATCACTGTAAAGATTGAGGCATTTGTCTATCTATGGACGAGCTTTGAAATTCCCTCTTCATAGAATGTTGCCACCAGTGATTGAGATGGGCCTTAACATTTTGAAATTCATCATTAGTCTCGAACTACTGCCCTCCTAGCCACATTTTTAGTTCAGGAAAGAGGTGGAAGACACTCAGTGCTAAATTGGGGCTGTATGCTGGGTGTTTAAAAAGTTCCAAGCTAGATGGAAGTCTGAAAGGTGAAAGACTTCATACCTTTAATGTGTGAAAATGACTTACCTCTTTCCTGAACTGAAAACTCGGTAGTAGGGCAGAGGTTTGAGACTAATGATGATCTTCAAAACAATAATGTTAAGGCCCATCTCAATCACTGGCGGCAACATTCTATGAAGAGGTGATTTCAAAGCTTGTCCACAGATATGACAAATGCCTTAATCTTCATGGTGAATATGTCAAAAAATAACCATGTTTGTACCTAACTTTTGGTACTAAATTCATTTTGTTATTTACATTTGTCTTTGTTTTATGGACCATCAGAGGTTGGAAAAAACAGCCTATGTAATATGTTCATATTATGTAATAAATATATTATATATATGTATATATATTTAAATAACAATCCACGAAACCTTTTTTTATAACAGTATTTTTTCTGTAATAAACTTCACAAATGTTTTCTACCTCCACTGAGGTCTGCTTCAGGTGGTGACTAAACAGTGTCTCCTCTTGACCATTGGAACGATGCATCTTGGGCGTCATCGTTCCAACGGTCAAGACGAGACACCGTTTAGTCACCACCTGAAGCAGACTTCGGTGGAGGTCAAAAACATGTGTGAAGTTTGTTATGGAGAAAACACTGTTATAAAAAAAGGTTTCGTCGATTGTTATTACTCAATGCAGTGTTAAGTTATTAGAAGTCGTTTTATACATTTAAATACATTAACATTTATAACATCAATATATTTTCTTTAATTTTATTACAAATGAAATGATATATTTTTAAATAAATCTAGCATTAATCTAATTGATATACTTTTTATTTTAATGAACACATTCATCTACATAAAAAAAGACTATAAATTTACATAGATTAAATTATTATTTAAACATTCACAGAATTTCCTTCAGTTGAAATTTATCTTCAATCTGATAAACATTTTTATTATAGCAGATAAATATCAGTTAGGAATAAGCAGATTCATTTTTGATTTTGTTGTAAATATGAGGTCTATTTGGAAAGTTCACAAAATTTAAAAATTTTGCACTAACTGATGATTGTATCTGATTTCAGCTTGCACAACTCTCTAGCAGCAAGTTTTATGTGCTATCTGCCAAAAGTAGTTTGTTCTAACTTCATTTGTTGTTGTGTTATGTTCATCTGTGTAAATGCATGTTGATTGTATTTTGCAATTTTCTTTCAGTGAGTGCAAGTGAGTGAAAAGCTTCTGGGACAGGCTAGGTCTGATGAAAATTTCATGAAAAACATCATCACTGGGGAGAGATATGGGTTGATGGGTATGACATGGAAATAATATCAGTCATCAGAGTGGTGGGAAAATCTTCACTGCAATCGAAAAAGGCATAACAAAGTTGGTTGAATATGAAAGTCTTGCTCACTGTTTTGTTCAATTCTGAAAGTGGCATTCACCATGAATACTATCTCAAGGTTAGGGTTTCTCATTTCCCGGTCTTTTGCTTGTCCCGGGATCCCGGGATAAAAGTGAACTGTTTCCCGAAATCCCGGGATAGAATTAATTATTTTTAAGGTATACAAAATATCTTGAAATCAAATGATATAATTATTTTCCATTTTTTAAAGTAATTTTAAAGTTCTGTAACCTCCAAAATCATATTAATAATGCTGTGTAAGGTCTATAGGCCTATAATAAAAATTACCTTTAAATAACGTAGAAATTTTCACAAATAGAAAAAAATTAATTAACTAATTAATTAATTAATTAAAAGTTGTATTGCTGGAAACTGCATACAACAACAACAAAAAAAATGTTTTGAATCGAGTTAAAAATTAAAAAAAATGAACTTCTAATTTAGAAGGTAATTTTCGTTTTTTAAACAAAATATAATACAAAATATTGCAAACTTTTATAAGATTTTAAAAAGCAAAGATGGTCAATACTCCGATAACTCACTCTAATTCTTATTTTAGTAATGAAAAGTCTTGCCACCGAGAATGCCCTTTCCGATTCAATTGATGTGATTGGAATAGTGTTTAATGCATTTAAGAGAAGACAGATATTATGTGTTTTTTCACCTGTAGCCTGGAAGATTTTGAGTTCGTTTTCGAGATTGTAGTACTTCTTTCGCTCTCTAGTATTCTTGATTTGTCTACCTTGGCTGCTTTAATAGCGGCATCAAGCTTAGAGCTCGATAATTTGGCAATTCATTTGGCTTTAATAATCAGGTTTATGAAGAAAACTTCATACTTGCAGACTTTGTACTCGTTTGTATCCTTGCCCAATTTGCACAATCTGGCGTCAGGCATTTATTGAAGCTACTGGGCATGGTTAAAACTCAAGACAGCGTAAGCACAATTATTCCAGATATTACAGGTTCCGACAAGTAAAGAATTTTTATAGTCCTGCCACAAATAAGCTATATATTGATTATTGACC